AACGAGAACACACACACACACACATACACACACACACACACACACACACACACACACACACACACACACACACACACACACACACAGGTAGGGGTGTGTTAGGTGACAATCATGGTGAAAACAAACATGCTTGAATAAACAAAACAAAGCACAAAGGAAACATGTCAGCTTATCTGAGGACATATTTAAGAAGTTTTGGGTGATAACAAATCAAACTGGATGACAGCTCACTAAGCCTCACCCACCGTAAATAATACCTGGCAAGCTTTCATTTCTCATACAGCACAGACAGTTTAAAACAAAGCTCACCAGTTTACTATAAAAACATTCACATTTTTTAAATAATTTCTTGTCTGTTTTCGGCTCAGTTGTACTAAAAAATAAGACAACAGCCTCTTTGTGACTGACAACTCAGTGGCTGCCCAGTCATTGCACTGGAATTTTTTGACATTCATTGACTTACTGGGCAACCAATTGGTCATCCAGAGGGTTGAGCCTACAACAATCTGAGTCTCTGGGTGACTGCTTTCGATCACAAGAGTGCACAGGTCGCCTAACAGGGGGGCAACTGGTCTACAAATGACCACGGTCTGTCGAACTGATTGCCATCACTCTCACACACAATGACAAAGGTTTGCAGATAATTCTGATTTATAAACTCAAACTCAGATTGCTAGCACACTGCAATCAGTCTGAATCACTCTGCACTGAACTCATCTGTGCTGTATCTTGTGGCATTAGGGGAACTGACCCTGTGACGCTGACACTGCTATTAAAAACCAGGGATTACATGAAGTAACCCGATGTTCTATTCCTATATGTCTGTGAAGGTTCTCAGTCATCCAGGTCATTGTAGTCTAAGAATGACCTGGATGTATTCTGTGTATGTAGTCGTCAACAGATTTGTTGCCATGTTGCTGCACCAAAGTACCCTGCAGCAACCAAGTAAAGTTGCCCTGTACCTGTGCATGTGCAATGACAATAAAGTTGAATTCAAAGTCACCTTAAGGATGTCAACTGACTGCAAATCGTCCCAGATCTGGTTCCTAACTTCAAAGCAACCATTTCAAAGTCACCAAGATCCCAAGTTCACTGCACATAATTGTGGTTGTGCTACATTCTCCAACCGCTGTTTCCCTGGATTGACTGCTGCATTAGATACGCAAATGCAGTCTGCTGGCTTTTGGCTGGGAACCATTGATTTTGACGGCCTAAATTAGATTTTATGAATGAGGGTTTAAGGATCCGATTTGAACTGTATTCACATGAGAATGTTGTTAAATGGGGAGTTAGATTATAGTGTGCTGAAAGTGTAATAATGTTAAATCAGATTATTGTTATTTTTCTGCTTGAATTTTATTTAGAAAGAATAAAAAACACTGCGTGTCAAGCATGTTTATTAAAAAGTAACTGTTTTTTTCTTTTGCTGAAACTTGTGATTTTCAATCTTCACATAAATTCTGTTTTCAAATGGTAAACTGCAAACAGAAAAAGAAAATTCAAATGAAACAAAATAATTTTTATCAGTTAATGGCATACAAAAATCAGATTCAACTCTTATTTTATTTACGTTTATCAGGAACATCTATGAGCTTTCAAACACTGGAGAAATCTTAAAGTATGGATTAGCATGTCTTCTAAACTGGGCATGAACTGGAACCAAGTTGCAATGTCTGGGACTAAACATTGCACTTCCTCTATCCTAGAGCTAAAAATGGATAAGTCTACATAGACTAAAGACAGTGCTAAAATGTGAGTCATGCAAATAACATGCTCATAGCCTGGCACAAAAACGGTTTTTAGTCTCTATAGCAAATTTAACCATTTACAAAACCTATACTAGAATTCAATTCAATTTCAATTAAATTTGCTGCTTTGCTGCTGCTTTATACTGGTAAAGCTCTTACAATAATACGGAAAACCCCCCCAAAATCAGATCATCCCCAATGAGCAAGCACATGGCGACAGTAGGAAGGAAAAACTCCCTTTTAGCAGGAAAAAA